TAAAGACCACAGTGCTGACGGCTGCGCTGCTGCTGTCTGGAATCCCTGCTGAAGTGATAAATCGGTCCATGGATACCTATAGCAAGATGGGCGAAGTCTTCACAGATCTCTGTGTCTACTTTTTCACTTTCATTTTTTGTCATGAACTGATTGATTATTGGGGTTCTGAAGTACCCTGAAATCCGAAGAACTCAGAAGAAGTTTACAAAGTGAAAACAATTTCTCTTCTACATTACAGTGTCTCTAAAGGGGACAAATTGGTTTATATCTTTATGAAATTCTTTTACTTTACAGAAAACCAACTTATTAGTTGCCCTGATTTAAAAGGGTTGACTTTGTATCAGTACTGGTATGAGTAACCAAATAGAATAACAATGTCATTAACAGTTTTTCTTGTTTAATTAGAAATCCAGTCTTATACCTTTCCCCTAACTTCTGGCATTTATAATCCCTCTTGTGGGACTGGGCTATTACTTTGAGAGGAGTAGATAAAGTGATCTCAGCCTGCCTAAAGGACTGTGACTTGTATTTGTGTCATTCTGTCCTGAAAAATGAAAACATCCTAAAAATAAAATGAATGGAATTGAATTGTCTAATGTTAAGACTGCACATTTTATTTTTGGTTTTTTCAATACAAGGTTTCTCTGCATAGCTTTGGTGCCTGTCCTGAATCTCATTCTGTAGACCAAGCTGGCCTTGAACTCACAGAGATCTGCCTGCCTCTGCCTCCCGAGTACTGGGATCAAAGGTATGGGCCACCACTGCCTGTCTTATTTTTAAAAGTTTTAACCCAAGGCCCAAAAGTGGTAGCCATCCTTATCCATTTTTGAGTTAACATACATACAAATAATAAGGGAAGAAACAGTTCAAGTTCATACATGTGGGGTACAGTAGTGTAGATCAATGACAGAATGCTTGCCTAGCCGCGAATCTCTGACACTGAGTGGGGTCGGGGAGTTACACAAATGAATGGTTTTTAAAAAGAGTTTATAGTCTATGCAACTTGTACTCATCTCTTTTTTGTTTAGATTTATTTATTTCTATTGTATGTGTATGCACATCCTACCTGCGTATCTGTCTGTGTACCATGCGCATATCTGGTACCTGCAGAGGCCAGAAAAGGGAATCTGATCCCCTGGAGATCCAGGCAGTTGTGAGCTGCCCCGTGAGTGTTGGGAACTGTCTGCAAGAGCAGACAGCAGTTGCCTTGAGCTGTTGAGCTATCCCTCCAGCCCTAGTCATAAACATTGTAATTGTATGTTTTTGTTGTTGTTGGCCCGGCCTTGCTGTGCTGCCGTCAGATTCGGGCCTGTGCTCTGACAGTGAGCTGCATTCCGAAGGGTTTTAAAGGTTGTGTTGTGCTGTGGGATGGTCTGTATGTCAAATTACTCTGATTGGTCAATAAATAAAACACTGATTGGCCAGTGGCTAGGCAGGAAGTATAGGCGGGACTAACAGAGAGGAGAAAGGAAAGAACAGGAAGGCGGAAGGAGTCACTGCCAGCCACTGCCATGACAAGCAGCAT